CCTGAAGGGTGCACATTGCCACAATGCAACTCTACAGTAACGTTTATGAGGATAATATTTGTCATTCTTTATAATGTTTCAGAGGCAAATTGGAGGCATCAGGACAGGCTCTAAACATTCACATAATATTCAAACATAAGGTTTACACAGTTAAAGGTGGGGTAGGTAAGTTTGAGAAACCGGCACGAGATACACTTTTTGTTATATTCCATGAAATGCTCTTAACATCCCGATAGCAATGAATATCTTAAGTGCTTTGACAAAAAATCCATAACAATTTTTAATCTGTGGAAGCCGTAGTACTGTAAAAAGCACGACCAATCATTTTAGCCGGCCCGGCTAAAATAACTGGATGGCCTACCTGCCTGTCAGCCTTCCATCTGTGCACAAACTTATCTCGTGCCCTCATTGGTCATGTGTGCGTTCGTGTGTGTTGGAGGAGGGGCTCTGTAAGGAAGTGGCAGATTTTTTCCGGCTGTGTATTTTCAAATTCCAGCGCACTCGAGCTGGTTTCTCCAAAATGACCTACCCCACCTTTAATGCATGAGCCAATAGTAACCATCTAGCAGACATGGAAGAATAGCATTTATGAAGAATAAGCTCAATATTCACTCTACTTTTAGCTCTGTTTTGGTCAACTTCTGTGGGAAATATGTGGCTCTTTTTCTGCTAAATGCTAGATGTGAACTTTGTGTGTCTGCTGTTAGAAAACAAGTTGCCTTTGTTTCATGAAATGACACAGATGAGAGAAGTGGAAGTGAACAAAAGTAAAGTTGTGGTCCATTTGACCAAAACAGTGTGCTAGCTGAACCACGAATGATTCATTTCCCACAGTCATTTGATCCCTATAGAAATATTGATTAATGCAGCTTTATGCTTAATTTTTAGGGTAATTTCCAATTCGATTTGATGTCCCACTAAAAACTGCAACCTTGAAACACATCAAAGAATTGCACTAAAAGAGCAGTGTGTAGAGTTTAGTGGCATTAAGTGGTTTAGTTGATGAATACTGAATACCCCACCACCCTTATCTTTTCTGGCGTGACAGCAGTGGCGGCGCCAGAGCATTTTTGTTGGGTAATCTATGGTAGGGCTAACCCATACAGTGGTGGTGCTCAAGTCAGTATTTGCAATGTAATTACATACACGCTATATCGCCCCCCTTGACAGTGAAACGCCACGTGTGAGGTTTAGATTATTTCCCTGTCTCAATCAAAATGGAACTGTATGAAATAAAACGGCACATTTGTCTTGTAGTAAATAAAAAGGGATCACTGTGAACGTGACGTATGATAGTACACGTTGAAGATCCAATGGGGATACTGAATGGCGGTTTCGATTGATCTCAATCAATAAGGCATGACGCAGATCCAACGTTGCGTTGCTCTGATTGGCTGTAGGTCAGGTCTATTCAAATTGCATTCGGAGGCATTTTGATCTGACCGCGGCCGCGCTGATATTATAACGCCAGAGAATTTCCACACCTTTAGTGTATAAAACTCCCCCACTACTTAGACTATTCCTTGCACCCCTCTTATAGCATAAGCCCAATGGTCTCAACCATATTGCATCAGTAAGGTGCACTTGTTGTTACAGCAGGATCAGTTTGTGTGCTGTGGACACGACCCGTATATTTTCGCAATCCGTGTTCTCAACATTTAGCATTTCGCTTATTATTTAATTGAATTTGCATCACTTTTCATGGTGGGGCTAAGGTGTGGCTAAGCCATTTCTTGGTATGGCTGTAGCCTACCCCAGCCATACCCTGGCGCCGCCACTGCGTGACAGAGAACCTACAGTGGCCTTATGGTGCGTCTCCATTGACTATTTTTCTTTTATTTAAATAAAAGCAAATTCCCTGATTATTTTTGTATTAACATATCTCAACAGCGGTATACATGGTATATGATTAGAAGCAAAGTGTGAAAAAGGGAAGTGAAAAAGGGAAGTGAAAACAGATTTAAGGAATAAGTGATGAATCATGTGATTTCAACGTCCACTAAATCTTCGGTTTCCCCTGAAGAAAAATAACATGGCAACTAAAATTAAAACTTCTCCTCATAGCTCCACACAGGTCTGATGTAACCTTCCTCACACTGTGAAATCACAGAAAAGTCATATTTCCATCATGTTTTTACATTGTTTTTTCACCGCATGAGGTTTGACTGGTGCGCATTTTATAGTAACGTGATCCTGTTGTGCTCCCTAGTTACATAACAAGGGTTCATTCAGGTAACAAAAACACACTACCTAATTTCAGGTGATTATACGCTAAAGAAAATTATATTACATTATTACATTGCATGTCTGGCAATAAATCCCTCTCAATCCGACACAATGGTCTATTAACACCTAGTGTCAATATAAACTACACACTACAATAGCTAAACCACTAGCTGAATGAGGCCACTTTGATTAAAATATCACCCTGGATTGGTAGTTTAAGAGGGAAGAGACTTTGCCTGCCCCAGTGTATCCTGGGAGCACAGTGCCCTGTCACCGTGCTGCAGCACGGCTCATTACAGCCATACTTTGGCCAGATCCTATCTTCTCTTAACCCTGACATTTACCCTCGTTTTGCAATTTGCGGATGGCATTGAGGTTTAATCAGGCGTGATTTAGAGGACAAGCTGCATGAGGGTCTGTATTGTGGAGTTTGTTAAACTGTCCTCTCTGCTTTCTCTGCCTTTGTGACTTCTCTGAGTGGGTGGATATGAGTGTGATGGAGCCAGAAGCTGCAGTGGCTGCCACGGGCACAGAGAGGCACGGCAGAAACTATCCCTGGGAATAAATATCCCTGAATATTATATCTGCAGAACAAAACCATGACCTAACTTGTTTCCGCACTAAACCCCAACAAAGTTAAAAGTCTCAGATCAGACAGACATCACTAAGTACACTTGATTCTCAGACAAGTCATTCCTGTGCAAGCACTTACAATTTGACAAAGTATTCTCCAACATGTCATCATAGCATCTTACCAGCAGACCTCCAGGCCCCCAAACGGCTACAGATGGCTCTCCTAATTGGCAGTTATCAATCAGCCTTAGGGTCATAAATAGCTTTCCTATAAATAGAAATGTGGTTTACAGACCAGACTCTCGTGCCCTCTTTAGTCAGAATGCAAACAGTAAAGTTGTGTCTGAAAATGTAGGGCAGGAAAACAGCACCAAGAGTTGGAGGCTGACAAAAACAAACTCTTGTATCCAACATTTCAACAGCAAGAGAGTCTACGCTGTGAGGCTGCATTTTGACCTAGATGCTATGTCCAACATGCTCTCAAAAACATTTCTAACCTGTCAATGTTTATCCATGAATGTCTAGGGACTGGATACCGGACTTGGAGATGGAACCCACTTACTTGTTGCAAAGAAGCAGAGGATAAATGTCAAGTGTTTAGACCAAAGCTGCATCACCTCCTGAAATGGTTAAACAACAAACTAAGTGCGGTACCAATTCAACCTAAGGTTATATGTGGTCAAACTCTTGGTAAACAAGCTTTACCGGCCAGGGCTCCACATTCTTCAAAGACAAATTGTGAAGGCACAAGGGGAGCAATGTGCCATAGCTGATTAAAAGCCTCTGCCATCACAGTCAGTCAGAGTCAGAAGAGTTTGGGAGGAGTGTCTAGAGTGTGCAGGGGGATACCAGTCGGATTAAGAGTTAGGGAGCGGGGAGGCCCCAAAATCCCTTTCATATCAGCAGCCCTGAAGCATGCAGAAAGAGAAACACATAAGCCGGAGGGTTGTAGATCAAAGCAAGATGGAAATCCAGAGAGAAATCCATGCAATCATTTGAAAAAAAAAAAATGCTGTAGAGAGACATCACCCTGTTTTCCCTTTCCCTCCAAGCAGCTGAGTCAGTTTATGTGATCTTGCTTGTCTGTGGGAAGAGTGTGCTGCATGCTGCATGATAACTGGAGCACAAAGGATTTCAACCTGCCACAGACATGTGCGCAAAACACAGCTGCTGTGGTTCATGGGTGGGCTGCCTGAAAGAGCTCTGCATTTGTGTATCTGAGCGCAGGAGGTGGTTAGCCATGACAGGTCTACAATAAATACAGTTCTGATCAAATTCTCCCTGTGCGTCCATGCAGAGCCATTAGTTTTCCTTATCGCTCTACTTGCCACAGTTCTCAATTAATAGGAGACAGCAAAGTTATCACTGTGTAGCCTGCGTGTGTGTGTGTTTGTGTGTTAAGGGCAAGGTCAGAGATAGACAGCAGCTGTAAGCTTAAATGATACCTGGAGTGTCTTCATTTGCTTGTTCACCCGTTCACACTCACTCACCCACTGTGGCTCCTACAGCTCTCAGTGAGGGGGGAGCAGAGGAATTATTGGGTGTTGGGGCCATCAGGCATGCAGTGCAGCAGTTGGCCCTCGGGGTGCCCTGCAAGGGACACTTGCTCTTTTCTGACCTATCGCATGAGCAAATGTTAAATGAGGGGGAGCAGAAGGGGCTTCTCATTGACATTCCTGTTGGTTTGAATGGAAATGTGGCAACAAAAAAAAGAGACTGCACCCATGGGTGCTGTCCTATAGCCAGGGATGAGTGTGCTGTTCCTGGCAGGCGTGTAAGATGTCGCCCCCGTTGCCAAAGTCCCTCACAGCCAAAATGTAACACATGACTGGAAAAAAACAAAAATATTAATCTGTTATTCTGTATGTAAGCCAGTGGAAAGAAAGCAGCCAATGATGGCAGCTCCACTGATTTTGATATGACAGTAATTATAGGATTATTTAACAAACAGAAGCCACAATAACAATGATGTCAAATCTCAAACTTGTTAGTCTTGAATGTGGTTTCATCTGGGCATTAGTTCCCACATTTTTAGATCAGACTTCCATAATAGTAACGTAATGTTATGAGCATGCTTGTATGGCTTCATGTTGGCTTGGCTACAGTACATGTTGTTTTTCAAAAAGTATTTAGAGGACACCATGGCTGCAACCAAACGGACGCAAAGGTCAGGGAAACCAGTGAATGCAATGATCACCCACCTATAGTCGACACCACAGTTCCAACAAAATAAAATGCTCCTGTAAAATCCCATCGTGGCCTCAGAGCGTCAGCCCGGATCCCGGTGGCGATGGCAGCCTCGTACTCCCGCAGGAAGGAGTTGAGCTCTTGCAGGCTGATGTTGAAGGTCTCACTGAAGTTGAGGAGCGTCCCGTGCCAGCGGCCGTGAGCCCGCAGCTCCGAGGGCCTCTCGATGGCCGAGAAGACTGCAGCGCCGCACAGCAGGTACAGTACGATGAGGACGGCGAGCAGCACGAAGCGGCCGTTGTCCTCGTTGAGGTGCAGGGAGCGGCAGCCTTGCAATCGCTGGCCAGACATCATCCAAATTTCAGCACCAAGCGCGCGTCGGACAGCGACAAGCTCCACATCGGAGACGGCATTCACTCGTCTGCAGGTGTCCTCTGGAAGTCACTGCCCTGCACTCTCGCTGCACTTCCATAGGCAACATTTCCTCTACTTAGCCCACCACGTTGTCCCATTGTAGTTGTAAAATGTTTGTATCTGTAACTAGAAGGCAGAAAAACGCTCCACTTGTGGATGAAAGTCTGTTGTTCCACGAAAGAGTTCATCAGAAAAGACGCCGGCGCATTGTTTCATAATAGGTAGATTTGTATCTTACTCTTCAGGCAATGCAGTTGGTTGTGAAGTGGACTGCAGCTTGAATCCAAAAGGACGCGCCGATCGCTTGTTTGTACAAATGCAAGCAGCAGTAGTATCCTCTCTGTCCCTTGCACCAAAATGTTCCACCACAAAAGAGACCACGATGAAGCCCGGATTTCTGCAAGTTACAGATGAATGTGCCGCAGGAAAAGCCCGTCCCCGCGCTCAGATAAAGTCATCTATCCTCAGGCTGGAGAAGTGTGGAGCTGCAGCTTTCATGTGGCCGTTATAGTGACACATTGCATCCTATCAGCGCACGGTGAGATCACTCTTGGCTACAAATCGGAGACTACAGCATGCCACCGCTACTGGAGAAGGAGAGTAGATTAAATGAGACGATTGAGGGTGTGCAGATGGCTCCAAGGAAGGGGTGTCTCCGTATTCCTCAAATAACAGAGGGCTTACATTTCCACTTGAGTGCAGCCTTGTGCCATGCGCACTGAGGATACTCCACAAACTGAAAACTGTTACTCACTTTCTGCACCGTGGGCACAATTGTAGAACAATACACTCCTGAACAATGCTTCTTAACAAAGTGTCTAACAGCTTTAACACAGAGCCAAGGAAAAATCCTGTATTCACAATCAGAAAATTATAAAAACGTATACTCCTCATGCAGAAAACATGTATTCTGATGGAATTATTTCTTAATGGATCATATGCTATTATAAATGTATACACTTGTAATAAGTACTATTTCTGGTGCAGCTATCAGCATTTTATATATAAGTGGATCAAACTTAATCAAAAATGTATCATATGTAGGGGTTTATTATCATGTTAATCGATTTCATGATTCATTTCTCATTTAATCAATTACCTGTTGGTCTGGTCGGACAATAACAGGTGCCTGCAATCCAAAAATGGCTTTGTATATAATTTATAGCATCTGCAAATGATAGCAACGGTAATTGTATTGATTTCCTAAAAAGCAAATCAAATGATCATCAAAATAGCTGCCCATTTGTTTTCGTTCAACTGCATAACTGAATAATCAACTAATAGATTATGACTTTCTCAGCGACCTTGGGTCCTGTGAAAGGCGCTTTATAAATTCCATTTATTATTATTATTATTATTAATACAATTTGACATTTATTCAATTGTAATCTACATTGTAAATGTATACCTGTCAAAGAAATGGATGAATATTTATCTCTAAATTGTAAGCAAAGGCATAGAGTAGAAAATGGATGGAAATCTAAATAGTAATACAGTAAAGAAAATCATAGTTACTATCAATATACCAGAACATAATTGCATATCATAAGCACTTACACGTGTGTGTCAGTGCCTTTTATTCCAAATTCATTAAGGAAATGGTTGGAGACAGACATGATCTCACCTTGTTGTCATTGTTTCACTTGATTAAACCAATAATGACCATCTTTCCATGCCATTAAGACCAAACAAAGGACTTACCGTGGCGGAGAGTTTTGCCTTGCAGTCATAGTCAGGATGTGTGCCTGCTCCTCTGCACATAATAACAAAAAGTGACTTGTTGCATTTCTGCTCACATTTACTGCAGGTCAAGAAATTGTATTGACAGTTTCCAGTACTATAAGGGCATGGTTGAGTGAGTCGAGTGTCTTGTGTGCAATTACCGTTCAGGGGAAAAAATAACAATACACCTTTGATTGTTGGACACGCAGCAGAGATTCCAACAAATCAATGACAACCTGGAGCTGCTGATCCATGACAATACAATTAAACATCGACTGGTGCTTTAAAAAGACACGTTATCCAACCCAAATGGAAGCAGTGATTCTCTGTCACATAAACTGTCACTATGGAGCCCAAAATGGGATGTTTCGCTGATATAAAATACACTTTTAACACATTTACAGAAATGCCTGAACAAATGTGCCTCATACAAAGGAGAGACACAATAAGAGCCCATAGGGTGGTTTGTAACAACATTGCTGAGACAGACAGCTGTTATTCTTTTCTATCAAGAAGACAGTAGCAGGGCTGCACAAAGTGGCAGTATTGATTATGCTTTCTAATTTGGCTAATTGGCTTACATATATGCAAAAACATTGCATGCTCAGCAGCACAAAGGCTGTCCTTGTCAATACTAATCATTACCTAAAAAAACGGAAGAAAGCACATAAAGGAGACTGGGATCTAATACAAGACATCAATGGAGACTTGTCTGCCATTGACAGGAGGCTTATGCATTTACCAAACTGTAGCTTGCGCTTTTTGTGTTTGAAAATAAGCATTTACTAGAGACTTACAGAAAAACACAAAGACAATCATGAGGAAAATACTGATAATAGCCTACTGGAAATAAAACAATCCCTTTTACACTCATTTATATTCTCCACCCACTAATTTTTTCTCAGGGCTGTTGGGGGGCGGCAGACTATCCCAGCATGCACTGTGTTAAAGGCAGGGAAGTCATTACAGGCTTTCAGATGCTCATTCATACCTCCGGGCAATTGAGAGTCTCCAGTTCACCTGAATGTGGGAGGAAAGCAAAGACTAAAGCCTGGTCCATTTGTTGTCAGGAAACAATAATATGAATCACTGATGCACTATTTACAGCATTTTTAAACATATCACAAATGAGTTTATTCATTAACCTCCACTATTTCATAAGCAATACAAAATACTCACTTTATAATAGCACTTTAACAGTGTGTTAAATTCAGCTGTTAAATTCCTTTAACAGCTGGTTATATATTTTTATGATGAATGACTTAAATGTATTGACCATAGACTATTGACAAACACTAACGTTGTCAGTATGCATGTGTACAATAGGTGTCATAACCTTTTTGTTGGTTGTTTTGCTGTTGATTTACTTCTTATACATGCTAAAGTCATGCTAAATAGTTGAAAGGGAAAAGTGCCTCCAGAGTGATGGATGTATTCATTTTCAAATCGTATAATTCCTAGATGCATCATTATTCGTCCCAGGCAAGATTCAAAATATCCATAAAGCGTAGAGAACTGTTCTCTATAGTGCAATTTGATGATTATGAGGCTTAAGTGAAGATAAGTATTTGACTTTTACTGTACAACAGCCCCTGTAGCCACTAGTGACACATGCAGGATAATTGTCTGCGTGAAAGTGTGATGTAACTGAGCACAAGCAGAGAGGAGGTCAGAAAACTGACTCAATAATGCCTGTTGTACAGCAATATCTACCTAAAGTTTGACAACATTTGCCAGCAGAAATGACACTAAAAGGAAAACTGAATTCTGATGAATACATTTTTTTCCCCCCTAAAAGTTGCATGGTTTATCTTTAAAGCAGTTCCAGCTTTCCATGTCTACTTGTCAGAAAACCTATGAGGCTTGTTGGTGCGTTTAAATATTATTCATATTAAATTAGATGTTAAAAGGGGATAAAGGACCAACACCACATGGGAGCTTGCACACAGGTAATGGACACAAAAAGGCAAGGCTTTACCCTTTCCAAAAATTTAATTTCACATGCACAAGGACACAGGTTTGTTAGGTGAAGGACAGATACATTTCAAAATACAAATACAATTTTATTATATTTAATCAAAAAGAGGAACATTCAGGAAATGTTGCTGCAAGATAAAAATTGTTGGTTAGAATTACAGAATGTGTTTAAAATATCTACTTAAAATGTCATTCTAAAAGATTGTATTGAAAAAGAAACCAAAACGAAAGTGGGCCGAGGCCAGTCAATGGGGTGGCAGGCTACTGTTAGTGAAACTAGGCTGCTACCATACTCAGCAGGTGCAGTCACAGCAAACCGGTAACTTGTGCATGTGCCCCACTGTTCTTCTGATGAAATGGAGGAAGCTGGTGATGCTGGGGGTCCGGTTAAGGACTGGGTCAATCATTTCTTACATTCCAAAAACCTTGTAGTATTCAACCCTGAAGTTTCAGACCCCTGATTTTATCAGATCAAATATGTCTGCGCCCACCTCAGTATCTGATGTATCAGTCAATATGAGCCCATCTTCAGTTAGAAGTTGAGCCTGTAGACTACATTTGTCTGTTACAGAAATAAAATATAAATGACAATAAGCTATATTGACCATGTAATTTAGACTTTTAGATTGTCCTTTTTGAGTAAATTACGTTTACAATTTGATGTAGATACAGTACCTTCTTGAAGAAACTGCAGAAAATCTAAGTTTCATCACTTTTGGGAACTTTTAAGTTTAATGAGGTAACTTTCTGCAAAATGTATGTAATTTAATAATCAATGACACAATATCACGTAACTTAGATAACGTAAGTATCTTACCACAAGAAATGCCAGAAGAAGATATGAATTAATCTGCTGTTTTCAAAGGGAACCTTAAACACAGAAAATGAATAAAAAAACACTATTCACTTTAGAAAACATTATAGCTTAAACATAGTAAACAAGCATCTTTGAAGGCATATGACTATCAAGAGACCACTGTAATGCTGTGGAGATACATTCTTCACCACCTTTTTTGTTTGTTAACGTTACTCTATGTTTGTTGTATCAATTCCCACTGACAAGTTAAGTTACAAGGTAGCTTGTACAAATAATGATATTTTTTTTGTCATGAGCTCCTCACACACACATGTGTATCGGTCCATTTGGATCGTCGTTACGTCACTTGGTTCCCGGAAGAAAAAAATGGAAAAAGAAAATCTCCAACGAGGCGTTCTGGGGCAGCATAGACACGTATTTTCTGTGTTAGAGTTTTACTCGCTACAGGGTGTACTTTGAGGGTTTGTGACTTTGCAGACCGTTTACATGCATAAAAAGCTACATAACACACAAGGGGACGGGTAATAATCAGAAAAGCAAGACATGGGACCTTTAATACCTTAATACCTTAATACTTAATACGTTACTTAATACGCGTCAACTTATCTTGGT